GGAAGGAACATCAAAGTGAAAAAAGTCGAGAGGGGGGGGATAGAAGGGTGCTTCAAAGGTGCAAAAGAGACAGACACAAAGGTATAAAAAAGGTGGGGTGAGTACTGTGAAAGTAATCGAATATGGCATACAGTGGGGTGATGGTAGTTTGAAGTCAGAAATCAACTGCCAGTTATTAGACTTTTTGCCCTATGAGTATACGTTGCCCAGGGTGCACCACGTGGAGGTAAGTCTATCGTACACCCCGGTGCCGATAAGGTTGTAAATGAGGATATTCACTTCAATTATCTAAGCCATTAATTGGTATATACCTTCTTTCCACTTTTTCATATAATGATGACTCGAAAGAAGTTTTTGTATAAAAGGAACTTGATACATATTTAATTAGCGATGAAAAATGAAGACGTACTTGTTGAAGATAGAAGGAAGGCTTTTTAGAAGGAATTCGACAAACAAATTCTCTAATAGGGCTTAAGGTTAATCTCTATGGAACTACAAATCGGCTACATTTTAGGTATCGGTTACACTTTTTGATGGAGTCTCAATGATATCTGCTGATGGGGAAGAAGTTCCCTGGAAGAAGAGTGTGAGAATGGAAGGACCAGTAGAGATGTGGTTGCTGGAAATTGAATCCCAGATGCGAAAAACTCTCCGAGATCTGCTTCGCGATTGTCGTTTCGAAATGAAAAAGGCCAGTGTTAAGAGAGACAAAGTGATCAGAGATTGGCCTGGACAAATATGTCTAACATGTAGTCAGATTCAATGGACTTCGGATGTTACAAAAGCGCTTACCATGGTAACTATGCGTCTTTTGAGAGATTATTTAATTTCAAGAAATCGTGATTTTAACTGCTTTAATGGTACTTCAATGAAGGTCCATTTAATTTATTTATTCAAACTATGTTTGAAAACTAACAAAAGATAGTAAATTATATTTGATTTAATTGGCTGGAATTGGGAAACAGTCATTTAAAGCCAGCTCTGACCGTTTAGCGAAAATACGATTGATATGGATGACATTTTCTTCCAAGTTAACGGAAATTCCTAATTTTCTTACTAAATTCTGCATTTGGGTCTTTTTCCCTAGGTAAATCGTCAACATGATAAGAAACCACTTAGAACAATGAGAAAGAAACAGTCTGCCATTTTGCATAAATACTCCGAAGCAATTCGCTCGAATTTGAGCAAAATGCAGCGATTGAAAATCAACGGTCTCGTTATTATTGAAGTTCATCATCGTGACATTATTGATAAACTCTACAAGTCAGGATGCAGGGATACTGGGGCCTTTGAATGGCTTGCACAACTACGATTCTATTGGGAAAAGGTTGGTGTGTTGATTCCTTAACGAGGTCATAAAGTAATTATGCGCCTGTAACATAAATGACTCACTTTAGGAGGAAGATGACTGTTTTGTCAAACAGACAAATGCCAGTTTCCATTATGGTTATGAATATCTGGGCAACTCAGGTCGTCTGGTTATAACATCACTCACAGATCGATGCTACATAACCTTGACGACGGCACTTAGTCTTAATCGGGGTGGGTCCCCCAAAGGCCCGGCTGGAACTGGCAAAACTGAGACCGTCAAGGATTTGGGCAAGAATTTAGGTGAATACGTCATTGTAATAAATTGCTCTGACGGTCTCGACTACAAATCCATGGGTCGTATGTTCTCCGGTCTCGCTCAATCTGGTGCTTGGGGATGTTTCGATGAATTCAATCGGTGTGTTTGCATTCTCTTTCTATTCAAGGGTTGTATTAACTCTTTTGCACTCCTGTCTTTCTCATATAGAATCAATATTGAAGTGCTCTCTGTGGTAGCACAACAAATTCTATCCATCCTCTCTGCACTTGCGTCAATGCCAAAGGGTAAAGGTGATGCGGCACCAATAAAATTCACGTTTGAGGGAAGGAAAATCCAACTAACCTGGTCCTGTGGCATTTTCATAACTATGAACCCTGGTTACGCTGGTAGGACGGAATTACCGGACAATCTCAAGTCCATGTTCCGTCCTATTGCCATGGTGGTTCCGGACTCAACTGTCATCGCTGAAATTACACTCTTTGCTGAAGGTTTTGATTCTTGCAAGGTTAATTGCATTAGAAATATCTATTTGTACGCACTTCAGCGAATTTGGCCTCCCAATCTTATTTGCAATTTAACTTGAGTAGAGTGTGTGTGTGTGGAAGAATTTGTTTTACAGTGGTCTAAACTAAGCTTTCCATTAGCATTTAGCAATTGGTTAAGACCTGCCAGCTTAGGTAACTTATGCGAAACGGCAAAATCAAAAGATAATTTATGCAGACCGTCTCTACGAAGCACTAAATCACAAGAAGGCAAATATCCACCTACTGAATGGCGTGTTCTCCCCATACTTTTGTAGGTGCTAGCGAAGAAGGTGTTCACTCTCTACAGTCTCTGTATTCAGCAATTAAGCAAACAGGATCACTACGATTTCGGGTTACGTGCTCTTATTTCTGTTTTGCGTTATGCCGGTGGGAAAAAACGCGAGAACCCGGGGATGCAGGCCGAGGAAATACTTCTACTCTCTATGAATGATATGAATTTGGCAAAGCTGACGTCAGCTGACTTATCTCTTTTCCAAGGCATTGTCTCTGATCTGTTCCCGGGAGTTGAGGTTCCCTCCATAGATTATACAGATGTTAGTCTAATTTCAGCTCTTTTTGCATCGTACTTACCTTCGCTTCTTCTACATTATATTTAATTCTACTCCTCTCTAGATGAAGAATGCAATTAACGAATCTTTCCAAGAACTTGGCTTGCAAACAACCAAGTTTTCTGTAAATAAAGTGATTGAGTTGTATGAGACCCAGAGTTCTCGACATTCTGTGATGATAGTAGGCAAGACACTTTCAGGGAAATCAACCACCTGGAAGGTTCTTCAGTTGACTCAACGCAAAATGATGG